TTTTTTTTTTTTTTTTTTTTTTTTGCAGAGCGTTATCAAAATCTGTTTCCATGAGCGCCGTTTGCAGTTCATGGAACGCGAACAGATGCAGCAATGGCAGGCATCGCGTCCAGGTGATCGAATTATCGAGGTAGATGTACCATTATCGTATGGCCTGTGCCATGTGTCGCAGCCATTGAGTGCGAACGCATTGAATACGGTTGAGATCTTTTGGGATCCATTGAAGGAGGTCGGTGTTTACATCAAGGTTAATTGCATTTCGACCGAATTTACACCAAAGAAGCACGGTGGTGAAAAGGGTGTACCATTTCGGCTACAAATTGAAACCTATATAGAAAACACAACAACTGCTATTTGTAACAACAACAACAACAACAACAGTAACAATACTAATATCACTAACAACAACAACAACAACAGCAGCTCGAGCAGCAGCAGCAACAGCAGCTCCAGTAGCAGCACCAGCAGCAACAACAACAGCACTGGCAACAACAACGCAAGCAATACAACTAGCAACAACAACAACAACAACAACAACAACAACAACGGATCGGGCATTACCTCGCCGGGTCAGACACCGGTAAATGGCAAACAGGCAGTGCATGCAGCTGCCTGTCAGATAAAGGTGAGTTGGCCCATTTGTTAGCCACAGCTAATGTAAATGTATTTAACAAACAATTCTCAAATGCTTTGTAGGTCTTCAAGCTGAAGGGCGCTGATCGCAAGCATAAACAGGATCGCGAGAAGATCCAGAAGCGTCCACAGTCCGAGCAGGACAAGTTTCAGCCCAGCTACGAGTGCACCATCATGAACGATATATCATTGGATTTGATAACGCCAGCCACTACAACTGGCTGCTACAGTCCTGAATAGTAAGTACAACATTTCATATATATATTTTTAATGTAAATTAATTTTTTAATATTTTTTACTTATCATATATAGACAAAAAAAATTTATTGTTATTTAATTATATTATTTTAGATTTTTGTGACATTCTATTTGTTTTTATAATTTTTTTTTTGTTATTGTTATTTATTAAATAGAAATATTTTATGTTAAATTTAACAAAATATATATTTACATAATGAAAAACCTATTTTTAATATATA